GATGTGTTTACCACATTTTTAATTGATATTTTTTTTAATTCAGATACAAAAAATGCTGCAAATTACATATACCTTGCCTTCACTGTACTGGGAAGAAAAAATGCAATGCAAGAAAAAGTTGCAAGATGAAGAAAAGGAGTAAATAAGCAGAAAAAGAAAGCAAGTACTATACCCTTTCATAGACTGCACAGGGTATATGATCGATTGTTAAATCCGTATCACTCTTATATTTTTCTGAAGCTAATTCCTTTATACTGGCTAAAAGCATAGATGTGACCAAGGAAGAAGAAAATTGTTGCTCTTTTTTAACAACCTCAATGCTATCGTCTTCATAATCATTTCCATTCAGCGTCCGTGGTGTGGTCATCTTCTGTCCATTGATCTGAATACCATCAAGGGTCCCAAATTGTCGAATCTGAACATTTTCTGTAGACCCAAAAGTTTTCTTCTTAATTTTAGTTGGATGCTTGTGTCTGTGTTTAGTAGCAATCCAACCTTCCTCTTTCGATTCAAAATTAACGCCTTTCCCCATTATGATTTAGAATGACAATAGAAAAAAACTTGCTTGCCAAACACAAAGAAAGATGTCAATTAATATCCCTTTAACAAATGAAACATGTTCCTAATGCACAAAACCTCTACTTGCAACACTTGAATTATTAAACCAGCAATTTTTTTAAATATTAATCGTGTCCATGTATTTGTTCTCAGACCCTTTATATCACTAGTGAAAAGTAAACGATGGTACCGCAGTAATGAAAAGCCACTCAAATGCTATTGTCAAAACAAAGTTAGTGTTTGGATTATTAACTTTCACTATACAATCCTAAACAACGGATGAGATGTTCCAACGCACATAAAGATAGTACGGGATTAAAGACATTGATATTTCGTAAGTCCCCTACAAAGGATGACACTGGAATCTTGATTAATATCAAAATTTTATCACTTAATTATCTTTTTTCGTCAAAGACTCGCACACAATAGATCTCAAATCCTCGATTGTGAATGATCAAAAATTTTTGTAGTATCACAAAACTTAATCAAACAATAAAATTTTATTTAGTTTAGATTCATTGAAATTTCATTCTTTTAATTTCACTTTTTCTCATTTCTTCATATTGTTTGCTCGTAACATTAAATAAATTTTAAATGCAAACTTTTAATTTCCTTTTCATTTAAATTTATTTGTTGTCGGAGATGAAAAAGATATTGTATATACAGTCTTTGATTTCGAAGACATGTTTAAGTGTTTCTATGTGAAAATAAACTTTCGTCACATCTATAAGAAATTAATTATGTCACAATAACGGTCTGTTATTTCCATTAGATCTCATAAAACAATTATCTTGTTATCCGAAATCTGCCTTTTTCGAGGATTGAATTCTAAGTGATTTAAATAAATTTTACATAAATTGAAATTTGATTGGGTGCTAATGGTTCTTGGGATGGGTAAACTGGAAAAAATAATTTATGCAATGCAAGGAAAATTAATTACTGCTTGGTCCAAAAAATGTTGGAGCCTGGTTACCTTTAAGTAGTAGAACCCTTTTTATGATGTTTTAAAAGATTAGTCAAATGAATGAATAGTTAAGAAAACATCACATAAATTTTTCAAGAGAAATTCAGCATTTTAAATATAAATAGATCATTCTTTAAATAAATTATAAGGATTTGCAAATACTTGGTATGCCATTGTTTAAAGAAGCTTGGTTTGTAAAATGTCAATTGGTCTTAAACCAATTTATAACTAAAGTGTTCTGTTAGTATTTAAATACATGTTAAGTGTATGTCGAGTTCTATAATTTTCAAAGGACAGTAGTTTTTATGTTGATTATAACTACAGATTTATTTGGAACAACATTCAATCATTTATCCATATTTCAGACCTTACTACCTAGTTTGTGTATGCTTTTTTCTTTTTTCTTTATATCAAAATCTGAGTATTGAATTTTAAAAACATGTTGCTTTCAATATAAATTCAGCTCTTCCTATATGAGGGTCAAAGATTTACATAACAGAGAATAATGGGCAAAACGTACAGAATAATGGCCATACAAAAATAAACAAGAATGTGTCCATAGTACACAGATGCCCCACTATGTTCAGTGCACCGTGAAATAGGGGTCAAAACTCTAATTTGGCATTAAAATTAAAAGATCATGTCATAGGGAACATGTGTACTAAGTTTCAAGTTGATTGGACTTCAACTTCATCAAAAAACTACCTTGACCAAAAACTCTAACATGAAGCGGGACAGACGGACGAAAGGACGGACGGACGAACAAACGAACGATCAGACGCACAGACCGAAAAAAACATAATGCCCCTCTACTATCATAAAAAAAGAGAAAATGGATAAAAATTATAAAGATAAGAGGAATTGGGTGCTTAACTATAAAGACTCCGGCTACAAAAAGTTGTTCAACAGTTTTGGTGTAAATAAACTGTTGGTAGGTCTCAACACTGAACATTTTTGCTAATGTCAGATTTTCTCTCTATATCACGGTTTTAGACAAGGTATGGCAGACGACAATTGCAATCCATTCAAAACTGTATTCTATTTCCCAATGAAATGCAAAATTTTCATGTCTGCACATGGTCACCATGACGTTACAACAATTCATTTGAAAATAAATAAGAAGCTTGATTTTACACATAATTTCATGAAAATTCAATTGTAAGAATTGAATGCTTCTTTTCTGTAATTCTAATAGAGGTGTGTATGCAAAATAGTGTACATTTTTTAGTATGCAGCACTTCTGTGCCTCATACAAAATGTGCTTTTGTCAATGCTTTTACTGCTTGGTAAAATTACATAAAGAATAATTATAACAGAGTCAAAGTCATAAATAGAACTATAAATTTTGGTTTTCATATTCAAGTGGCCAAAAAAGTTAAAACTCTGAGGAAAAAAACAAACTTTAAGTAATAATTTGTTTTTCATCTCCTTAAAAAAAACACATAATACTACAGCCTTTTCAGCAACTATTTCCATTTTCAGCTCATACATACTGTATACCCAAATCATTTTGTCTTCTTCATTTTTACTTCTTTAATAAAATGCATAATCTATTATCATACCAATTTTTTGTATTATAAAAATACTCAACACAAAAAATTGAATCAAACCACTTTCATTTTCCTCGTTCCAATTCAGTCCAAAAAACATGCAATAAATAAAGATTAATTAACATGTAAAATACATAATTTTAATTCACATCTCCCACCGTGATAACATACACCTGCATTATTAAATATTTGACCGTCTTCTGGTCTTTATTTTCCCTGACCCTTACACAAAACGAACTCATTTACATAAAGAGTGCAAATACAAAACTATTCTAAAACAAATACACCAGTGTGCGCCTAACAACATATCACAAAAGTCTTATTAGAATTTAAATCATTCAATCGCTTTAAAAATATTTTATTGGCAGTATTACTTCCAAGTGATCGGAACATGATAACTGATCATCTTTCTTTTATCCAAAAATGTCAACTTTATCTTTCTTTTATCCCCAAAATGTTGACATTTATCAATTTTAAGCATTCTTTATCTTGTACTCATGAAGCTAATCCTTTTGATAAATTGTGTTCAGTACATGTATTTGTCTTTTTAACAATTAATCAAGTGAATAAAATAAATTGTCAATGTCTTGTCAATTTGAAAACTGCAAAACAGTATAGCAGTCACTTAATTAGGCTAAAAGAAAAGAAATATAAGTTGTGCTGAGTGTTTCTTAATTTTTTATTTTTCTTGCCTCAAATGCCTTCCATAAAGCTTTTATTGGCCAATTTGGTTGTGAAGTTTGATAAAATTGCAGGTCTCCCCATATTCTCAAGGTAAAAAAAAATTGATCAAAAGTATAAAGAACATCTATCTAGCTACTCTATTTGTCTCAAGGCCAAAAAATATATTTATTTTACATCGACTATATATATATATGGAAATGTCTTAACTTGAACTGTGCTCAACTACATGTTAGGGAAAGTAGGTAGACATGAAATAAAACTATATTTTTTTTGGCCAAATGAGAAAATCATAACAAAAACATACTTTTTAGTTTGTTATTATGACTACATCCAAATACACTGTATAGGCTATAAAAGAATTTGATTCAATCACTACTTAATATATGGTTTCTGTTAGCTTTCATTTTGACCAAAAGATCCAAGTTATAGACTGCTAATCTGGTTATAATGTGTGGATAACAGAAGACAGGTCTGTTTAATGTAGTAAAACACACTTAAAGATTTTTAACTAAAATTTTCTTAGAGGTATAAGATTTTGAATTAGCAATGTAAAATCTGTTTTTCAAGGAAAACATTTAATTAAATGCATTTTACTAAATGAATAGCTGCATCAATAATGAATTCATCAAAAAAATTAGAACACCACGTTTGTTACTACAAAAACCAAATACATGTACTGTAAAAAGATGGAAAGAGATTGAACTCAGGATTGCCATTTTCACATTTCGTCACGTGTAATGGAGTGTTCGTTGAAATGTATTACAATGTAAGTTATAAAATAGATATGTAGAATTATAATAAATGAGACAACAATGCTGCAAACTGATTTTTTTTTGTTAGCTAGAAGGGAAATAAGTTCCAAACAAAAATATGTTTAAGTAAGTTGGCGAAAAAAAATTGGAGAGTGTAGAAAAAAAAATTGTTTTGGCAAAGGAGATGGCAAAAAAAGAAATTGACCAAGAGGAAACCCTGGAACTTGAAAAGTCACCTGAAGCAATATTGATTTTAACACATTAAAGTTGTTGAAAAAGTGTTTGATAAAATTCTACTTATACAAACAAGCTGCTAATAACTGAATAACACATGTATGGTTTCTATTGTAACTGATTGATGGTTGTGTTCATTTTGTTTTAATATGTACAATACATATATCTTTTTACCAAAAATTTCATTATGAAATAATATAGAAATAAACAAACGAAAAAATTGTTTTGCTGTATATATGTATTACAACCAAATCATACCTGGTTTTCTGGAAGCCATTTATTCAGGGCATCCGACCACACTAGCTTATCATCCTGTGAATGGCCATCTCCCCATGCCTCCCTTCCAGGGGACTGTGGAACTGTGGGTAGTGTCTGGGATACATAAGGCAGAGCAGTCTTAGGTCGTCCAGTCCTACGTGAGCCTTCTGTAGTATGACCGCTTATAGATGTCCCTACATGAGATGCTGAAGAAGGATGTGCACTACTGTGTCTGTATGCCTTCTGTAATGAAAAAACTAAATGATGTTTTCTAGATGCAAAACAAAGTAAACTTTTGATATCTCCAAACCAAACAACATGTGTTGCTAAAAGAGGGACGAAAGATACCAGAGGAACAGTCAAACTCATAGATCGAAAACAAACTGACAACGCCATGGCCAAAAATAAAAAGACAAACAGACAAATAATAGTACAGATGACACAACATAGAAAACTAAAGACTAAGCAACACGAACCCCACCAAAAACTGGGAAACAGGAACGAAACAGAGTATAAGTTATTGAAACCGACAACCTGTGGATGTAAATTCAAAATTACTTCACGGTCGCAAAGTTGTGTTTACAAGAGATGTATTCAGGGATACTGAAGATTGATATTGGTGATTTTGAAATTAATTTCGTGATTGGAACTATTGTAGACTTTGTCGGGCAGAAGAACTGCTTCTTGGCAATGAAGCGCAATGAAAATTAAGACAATCATTAATGGTTTTCATAATCAATCCCTTTTGATTTAAAGATTATATTTAGTTTATATAAATATAGAAATTACTAATGCCTTTCAACATATTGTAATATTGAAGGCCTCACTGTGACTTTGAGATGAAGAACAGCAATAAAAGTCCTGTTTCTTTGCTTTTTGTGTTTTTGGCTGTGCATGTACTGATTTTGTATCATGGATGGATACCTCATATTCTTTCTTTTCTATGATGTTGGATTCTTAATAGTCATGATGTTGAGTAGCAACTATGATGCAAAATATGACGAGTACTAGACAATAAGACAAAGCTGTTTAAATTGAATAGTCCTGACTTTCAATCTGCTTTGGTTACAAGACCACATGAACAATACGATTTTTTTTTTGGTGATTTTGAGTGTATCACTGTGAAACAGGGTGAATCACTGATGCTTCAGTGATAGCGCTTTGATTTACAACACTGTTGAATACTATATTAGGCTCCACAGTGTACAGAATGATCACTTTGAAAAATTACCATAAAGAAAATTTTTTACTGAATCACTTTTTGTGCACTGTAAAAAGGTATAATTGTACATATATGTGTACATGTATAACAAGAGGCTCTCAAGAGCCTGAATCGCTCACCTGATTTGTTAAAGCTTAATTCATTCATCAATCATGATTTATATTTTTGAGTAATAATGTATATCGGTGATTGCTTAAAAATGCACCTTTTTTGGGGGGACGGGGGGTCATTGTTCTGAACATGTTCATGCAGATAGATCAATACTATTTTTCTCATTTACACTTTCTTCTTATCTACTATAATTTTCAAGAAAATAATCAAAATCTAAAATTTCCTAATAAATAACTACTTCTAACAGTAACCCAACAATAAATTCTCCAAATTCTCCAATTGGCATGAAAATTTCATAATAGATAAATATTTACCTAATCATCACTCTAATTCTCTTTCACGTTTGCTCTAACTGCTTTAGTTTTTGAGATGTAAGCCAAAAACTGCATATGACCCCTATGTTTTATTTTTATCCATGGCGGCCATGTTTGTTGATGGATCAAAACTTCGGATACAATTTTAACCTAGATACCCTAAGGAACATTTATTTAAAGTTTGAATGTATTTGGCCCAGTAGTTTCAGAGAAGAAGATTTTTGAAATAGTTTACGAGAGACGACGAAAATTACCAAATTAGTGGCAGCAACCCAACAATGGTTTGTTTGATTTGTTTGAAAATTTCAGGACTGGTAGATCCTGACCTGTTTACTGTGGATTCATTTATTTTCGTGGGTACCAATTTTCGTGGATTGAGGAAAACTTGCATATTCGTGGATATTTAAATTCGTGGTTTTTGTAAAGTCTGCATATATTCCTTTATGAAATTTGTATTTCGTTGAACATTTAAATTCGTGGTTTCCCTGTACCCACGAAATCCACGAAAATTAGTATCCAACGAATATTAATGAATCCACAGTAACATTTTTACCCCCTGTCAGATTTGCTCTAAATGCTTTACTTTTTGATATATAAGCAAAAAACTGCATTTGACCCCTATGTTCTATTTTTAGTCATGGCGGCCATGTTTGTTGATAGATCAAAATTTCAGATACAATTTATAAACTAGATACCCTAAGGAACATTCATTTAAAGTTTGAAGGTATTTGGCCCAGTAGTTTCAGAGGAAAAGATTTTTGAAATAGTTTACGACGACAGACGACGGACGTCGACGGACGCAAAGTGATGGCATTAGCTCACATTGGGCCCTTCTGGCCCGGTGAGCTAAAAATGAGGAGATGTTGTATGATTGCAAATGAGATAACTATACACCCGAGTTCAAATGAAGTGGACGTAAGCAATTATAGGCAACCGTACAGCCTTCAACAATGAGAAAAACCCATATCGCATAGTTGGCTAATATAGGCCTCGACATGAAATGAAAAATGTGAAACAATTCAAACGAGAAAACTAAGGGCCTAATTTATAGACAAAATTTACGAAAAACTAATATGACAGACATGAACCAACAACAACCACATATATATATACATGCGGTCTAATGGGAAATTCATTTGGACAAACTCTTACCTTTGTTTCAAACTGAGGAAAATCTGGATCGGCACAAAATTCAATATGTCCAGGATTTATTATATAAAAATATTGAAAGCTTGAGGAAGAATTACTCCTAATCATGTCTTATTTCTCAATATTTTTTATAAACTTTTAAAAGTCAAAACATTTTAAACAAAGGACAGTTTAAAAAAATTTTACAATAAGAAACATAATTGTGGAATAATTACCTCCCTTTTCAGCTCATTGTTACTTCAAAAACTTAATTGTCCAATTAAAATAACATATTAAGAACTTCCATTTGTGAAAAATTTAAATTCATGTTATGTCACATTGTGGACTTCTTCTCTTTCTCTACAAAAACTACAACCTTCATTTATTTCTATTTAATATACACAATAACTTATTCTGAAAACAATAAAAATCAATTAAAGGCTATCTTGAGACAATTAACAAAGAGTGGACGATTTCAAATGAACATGAAATTAAAATGTGGCATTTTCGAAAAAAAATTATATAATGCAACAAAACTATTGAGGCAAATTGGGACATTGTGTTACAAAGGGACAAATTCTTGTCTTTCTGATCATTTTTGCTGGATCAAGTTTTTCTCTCTCCAGTATAGTTTCCAAGATGATAGACAAAAATGACAAACTAGAGGCTCTCAAGAGCCTGTGTCGCTCACCTGACTCTACTTTGGTTTTAGAAATCATGTAAAGATAGATAAAAATCATAACAGATACCCAAATAATGATTGAGGCCAAATTTTGATTAATATTGGTCCCGTTATTTAATAAAATATCCTGGTGGCCATCTTGAACAGTAAATCGGCAACAAAGTAGCACCATTTGGTCAGCACTTCATAAGGAACTTTCATGCCATGTTTGGTTTCATTCCATTCAGTGGTACTCTAAAAGAAGACATTTGTATGTATTTCCCATAGGGTCCTATGTTAAACTAAGCCCCCCCCCTAGCGGCCATCTTGGATGATGGATCGACTGCAAAGTAACAACACTTGGTCAGCAACTCATAAGGAACATTCATGCCATGTTTGGTTCAATTCCATTCAGTGGTTCTCTAAAAGAAGACAATTGTATGTATTTCCCATAGGGTCCTATGTTAAACTAAGTCCCACGCTGTCGGCCATCTTGGATGATGGATCGGCTGCAAAGTAACAACACTTGGTCAACATCTCATAAGGAACATTCATGCCATGTTTGGTTCCATTCCATTTATTGGTTCTCTAAAAGAAGACATTTTTATGTATTTCCCAAAGGGTCCTATGTAAAACTAAGTCCCCTGCTGGCGGCCATCTTGGATGATGGATCGGCTGCAAAGTAACAACCCTTGGTCAGCATCTCATAAGGAAGATTCATGCCATGTTTGGTTTCATTCCATTCAGTGGTTCTCTAAAAGAAGACATTTGTATGTATTTCCCATAGGTCCTTTGTTAAACTAAGTCCCCTGCTGTCGGCCATCTTGGATGATGGACTGACTGCAAAGTAACAACACTTGGTCAGCACCTCATAAGGAACATTCATGCCATGTTTGGTTTCATTCCATTCAGTGGTTCTCTAAAAGAAGACATTTGTATGTATTTCCCATAGGGTCCTATGTTAAACTAAGTCCCCCGCTGGCGGCCATCTTGGATGATGGATCGGCTACAAAGTAACAACACTTGGTCAGAACCTCATAAGGAACATTCATGCCATGTTTGGTTTCATTCCATTCAGTGGTTCTCTAAAAGAAGACATTTGTATGTATTTCCCGTAGGGTCCTATGTTAAACTAAGACCCCCGCTGGCAGCCATCTTGGATGATGGACCGACTGCAAAATAACAACACTTGGTCAACATCTCATAAGGAACATTCATGCCATGTTTGGTTCCATTCCATATAGTGGTTCTCTAAAAGAAGACATTTTTATGTATTTCCCATAGGGTCCTATGTTAAACTAAGTCCCCCGCTGGCGGCCATCTTGGATGATGGATCGGCTACAAAGTAACAACACTTGGTCAGCACCTCATAAGCTTTCCCTTTGTGATATGGAACCTTGTAGTACAATTTCATAAAGATCCATACACTAACACAAAAGTTATTGTCCTGAAACTAGAAAAATGCTTGTTTTTTTGCCCCTTTTTGGCCCCTAATTCCTAAAATTTTGAGGCAATTACCCCCAAAATCAATTCCAGCCTTTTCTTTGTGGTATGGTACCTTGCAGTACAATTTCAGAGAGATCCATACACTTGAACACAAGTTATTGTCTGGAAACTAGAAAATGCTTATTTTTGGCCCCTTTTTTGGCCCCTTATTCCTAAACGTTTTGGGCAATTACCCCCAAACTCAATTCCAGCTTTCCCTTTGTGATATGGAACCTTGTAGTACAATTTCAAAAAGATCCATACACTTACACACAAGTTATTGTCCTGAAACTAGAAAAATGCTTGTTTTTTGGCCCCTTTT